TCATCTCCAAATAAACTTTGATTATCTTTCCAAATTTGACGTTTAACTTCAGTATCTGCATCATTATATAATTCTTTTTCTCGAACAAGTACTCGTAAATATTTATCTTCTATATGTGGTGTATTTCTTAAAATACACATAACAACTGGTCTTAATGCTGTAACTCTTACAGCAGGAAAACTTTTAGATAATAATTCTTTTAATCTTCTGTCTCCTGCTGAACCTTTATCTGCTCTTTCTGTCCCAATTTCATTGATTCTTTTTATTAATTTTTCTCTTAATTCTTCAAGAACTGATGCATGAAAATCTAGTCTTCTTACTCCATGAAGATCAAGCAAAGGTAACATAGGTCTTAAAGATGGAAGTAGAATACCATTTTCTAATTGAAATTCTTCAATTGCTTTTAATGGATCTGTACAACTTGTTAAGGCATCTCTTAAAAAACCTTGTCCAGGTATACCAAGATCATCTAAACCATTTCCAATTTCACAATTATTTTTTACAGTATTCATTATCTTGTTTATATTTAATAATTTTGCACACGTGAATGAAATATATATAAATTTATAATATAATTTCTTAAAAATTATGATGTTTTATAATATAAAAAATATTATTACCAAATATTCTTCATTTTCAAATAAAATTATTTATTGAATATAATCTTTTGTTTTCTAAATAATTGTGAATTACTGCAAATACTTTTTAAAATAATTTTATAAAATTTGAAATTGTTAATGTAACATTGCATATTACAATATTATAAATTTAGCAATGTTAAATTATATGTATTTCTTTAAATTATTTAAATTCTATATATATGTTTTTTATCTGCACTGTATAATTAATTTATATAATTTTTTCTTAATACATAACATTATATTTAATTTATATATTTATTTAAATCAAATGTGGATTAAGATTGTCGGATAATTCTCTACATCGACTTATGCGTGATGTCAATAAAATATTGAGAATCAGAACATCAAAATTGCCACTTTTATGTTCTTGTCTCGGCAACTATTAGGATAAAAACATTGCCGCAAAAATTTTTTTTCGAGGAAATGACATTACATCCACTCCCACTTTTATATCTATATCATGTTGTGTCTAATTGTAACAGTATAAATCCTATTTTCATTTATCTACAATATAAAGTTCACTGATTAATGCTGACTATGTTAATTCTTTTCTCAATTTCTTGGCTACTAATTTAGAAAGTAGTAGAGAGGAAACTATTGAAATAGAAATGTGTTACTTAACAACGCTATGCATCAACGTTATCTATCTGCTATTTTAGTATTATATAGTGCATCATATCATCAACTAGATGGCATCATACTATCGCGTCGTGTTGCTAAGCAACGCGTTTCTCCATCTCAAGGGTTTCCTTTCTACTATTAATCTCTGTATTTCAATGACGTCATATTTAGATTGTTGTGTGCTGTAAAAAATTTTCTGTCAAGTTTGGGGAGAGAAAGAATACGTATATTTATTCTATCTCTCGAAATATCTATAGATATATATATATACATGGATATGTTTATATATAGATAATACAAATGTCAATTCAGAATCTGAAGTTCAGATGAATATGTGATATAATATAAAGATTAAAATTATATAAAAATTATATTTAGGTTGCTATTATTATAAATATGATGTGAATAGAAAAGATAGTGAATATAAAAGATAGTAGAATTCTTTATAAATTTGCAAAGTAATCCAATTCAAGAAGAAATAAATTACTTTTAATATATATTCATTTAAAAAAAACAGCATTTTAGGTTATCATGGCACAATCAACAACTAGTGGAACGTCTTCTCGACGATATATGAGAGAACATGATGTTAATGTACCATCTTCATCACGTTATGTGGATAGTGAATGGGAAACAAAAGAGGTAATACTTTAAGTTATCTTTAAGTTACAAAAATTTATTTTTGTTGAAAAATAAATTACTTTTAAATTTGATGTATATGAAAATTTAAAAATATTTAAATTTCATTTATTTTTAAACAATAAATATTTGACATAGTTACATATTTATTTTTTTATTATGTGTATTTTTATTTTAATATGTTATTTATTATAATTACTATTTTATTATTATTATTATTATAAATTAAAATTTATAATAAAATAATAATTATAATAAAATAGTATTCAATAAATTATTTGCTTAATAATAATATTGTAGGCTTTACGACAAAGAGAACTTGAGGAAGCAAGAGCACGAGCTGCACAGATGGAAAAAACAATGAGATGGTGGTCAGATTGTACTGCAAATTGGCGTGAAAAATGGAGTAAAGTACGTAATGAAAGAAATATGGCAAGAGAAGAAGCAAAAATGCTTAGAGCAAAATTAGAAATTGCTGTAAAAGATGCAAATAGTTATAAACATGAATGTCAGGAACTTGAATTACAAAATGAGCAGTTAAAAAAAGAAATGGAAAAAATACACATGATATTATTAAAACATGCTGGACAATTTGATCAACAAATTTTTACAGTTTTAGAATCAGATCCACAATTAAGAAATACATTAGATATTAACGAATTATTGAAATTTTATAATAACGTAGAACAGAGTGAAAGTGTAAATTCCCAAAAGGATTTACTTTCTTGTAAAGTTTCACTTGATGAATCTAATGTTTGCTTAGGAAGTCATAATATTTTACCAGATAGAGATATTGAAGAATATGTATTACAAGGTGCAGTGCCAAAGCATGCTGTAGAAATATATAAAGATAGTTCCCTTTATTCATTAGATAAAGATATTGTGAGATTAGTTGATTCTAATTCTACAGAAAATAATTTAGAAAAAAAACAATCTTCATTACAAACATGTACAGATGAATCTTATGTACAAAAAATATTATTGCTTCAACATAAATTGGATGAAGCTACAAAAACTATATCTACAGAAAGAGAGTAAGAATATGAAAAATTATTATTATTCATTAATACAGAACTCTTTACTGATATTCTAAATTTAATAAATAAACTTAATAAATTATTTAAAAATTTTTTAACAGAGAAAAAAATTCATTACATCATGGTATGGAGAAATTAAAAGCAGAAATAATGCAATTAAGAAAACAGTGTGAGGAATTAGAGGAAAGTAAAGCTGAAATTACAAGAGAATTACTTGAATTGAAAGATCGATTTCAAATTGAATTTAATGATGTTCAAGTTGATATAATTGATGAAGCTTCAAGTAGAGAAGGAATGAATCGTCGTTTGTGTGAACTTAGAGCAGAAGTAAATAAATATACATATTTGCATTATACACACAATATTTACAATATTCGTATATATTTTTATTTATTTATAATTATATAATTTTTTAGTTAGAAAGACTTCAAGCAGAAAATGCAGCCGAGTGGGGAAAACGAGAACGTTTAGAAACAGAAAAAATTTCTTTAGAACGTGAAAATAAACAACTTCGTAACGAATTAAATGATTTACAAGAAAGGATAGAATCTCGACGATCACGTCCTCTTTCCACATCAGATAATGATGCGAGACAATTACAACAAGAATTTTTAGTTAGGAATGTGGTTTGTATTATGTATTTTAAATATAATATTTTAAACATAATAAATGTATGTAATTTTAGTATTTAATTGTACTAATTAAATTAATTATTAGACAATATTAAAAAAATCTTTGGAAGAAAAAACAACAGAACTTTCACATGCTATGAGAAGATCAGAACAATATGAAGCAGAAGTAAAAAGAGTTAGAGCAAGAGTAGAAGAATTGAAAAAAGAATTAGCTGCAGTTCAAGATGAAGTAGATGCTGCAACTAATAGTGTTCGTAAATTGCAACGAGCAAATGAAGATCTTTTAGAACAATTAGAATCAGCTAATGTACAATTGGAACATTTTCGAAATAGGTAAATAGCAAAAATATCTATTAATATTCTTAATATATCATATATCCATATTTTTCTAATTAAATTATAGAATTGTTACTGACAATTAATTTGTTATCAGTACTGATTCTTACACAGTTGGTGTAGGAACAGGAGAGACTCTTGAAGAAAAATTATGTACAACTAATAATGGTAAATTAACAAATGGTAAGTTTTGGTATATCTTTTTTTACATATTAATTTAATAAATATAATAATTATATTTTATAAACATTGTTTCAGAGTTTGAGCAAGCCTAGTATTTAATTATTTTAATAATTATATTAAATTAATTTGATTAATGATAAATGAAATTTGGAATGTGAAAAATAATTTTTTTTACATTTTCTAAAATACATCAATTGATGTAGCAATATTTTTGAATTATATAAAATCTTATTAAATGTATAAATAGAATAATTAATAACTGAACTTAAATAATGAAAAGTTATTATCTATTTCAGTATTGTATTATTATTTAAATTATATTTTTTCACATTTATATATAATTTTCTTTTATATAGATAATTTTTTTTTTTATTAATTTTACATATATCTATGTATATAATTTTTTTCTAATTTTTTATAATATAAAAAGATTAATATTTTTATAAAAGATTTTTTGTAAATATTTGAAATTTTTTTTTATTTGTAAAAATTCACATTCCAATGTATTATATTTTAAATATTATTACTTTATGTATATAAATAATGTATATAATTTAAATCATAAATGTAATTTCAAATTTTGCCTCCTACCTAAAGACTGGTGAAGTTAGATAATGGAAGATTATATGTATTGTCTATGATACCTGATATTTATACTTATTATTTTTGTGTTAACAAATAAGGTCTAAAAAATCGTGAATGTATGTATATCTATATTATGTAGAAAATACTTTAAAAAACTGTTTAAATTTATATTTGATTGTAATGAATTTAGAAAAAAATATATTCAATATATATTTATTGATTGATATATAATTCATATCTAAAAACAAATAGAAAATAGAATCTTTTATTTGTTTAATACATATTTTATTGATAAAAAAGTATAAATATTAAAAATTGATGTAACATTAAATTTTTATAATATACTCTCAATACAAGTACCTCAATAAAAAATGATATGTAATATGTGTATATGTAAAAGAAATAGTAAGAATATGGTTACATTCATAAGATATATGAATGATCATAAATATTGATGCAAAGATAAACAAGAAGAATAATCTAAGTTGTAATAAAAAAATATTTCTAATATTAATAAAATATGAAATAATCTATAAATAAAATTAAGTTTTTGTAAATAATATAAAAATTTTCAAAGTTAATGATCATTATTGACCTAACATTTCATAGGTGTACCATCAGGATATGTTGGCATTTTTGGCTTGCAAATTTTTGTTCTACCATTAGAACCATACACAATATTACAAGAGAATGTAAAATATCCACAAGTTGAACTTTTAGTATAATAACGATGTTCATATTTTCTCTGTGAATTTTTATCATCCATTTTACCAGCTACACTATTTGTAATTGTATAATAACTTGGTTTTATTGATATATTAGGAGTAACTTTTGTATATTCTGTAGAACTTTGATGTTTTTGGTTTTCTTTAGATGAATTATAACTTTCTATTAATTTTTCATGATTAGTTTTAAGAGATCTGATTTCTGAAATAGGTGATTTAATTTTATAAATCACATTTGATTCCTTTGGAATTAAAGAAACTGTTTGAGATTGAGATTTTCCATTGCCATGAGCAATAGTTTCACTACCAGCTATAGATGTTAGTTTGCCACGAAAACCTGGTGGTATAGTATATCCTGATAATGATTGTCCAGGTTGAAATATATTTCCAACTTGTGCTGTATTTGTATTTTGTTTCATATGAAAATTGTATTGATTTTTAGATGCAACTTGTATTGCTTGTGATTGATGATTACTATTATTTTGTTCTGCAGTATAAATTTGTGAAATTTTTGGACTTGAAGTTTGTATTGGTGAGATATTATAATCTTCACCATCATATTCTTCTTCATAATCATCATATATTGTATCATCTATTTGTGATTTTTCAGTAGATTGATTTGGTTTGCTTACAATGTTTGGTGAACTAACATTTGTTAAATTAATAATAACTTTTCTTTGAGAACTAGAACTAGTCTGCAAACTTTGAAGTTTGTCTTGATTATATTTGTAATCTGTATTTAATGATATATTTGATATTTTACTATTATTTTTTGATACAATTTGTCCATAAGATGGTTTAAATGATTGTCCATAAGATGGTTTAAATAATTCAGTATTTGTAAGATTAAAATTAAATGGTTTTCTAGAAGCTGCTGCACCAGATCCTGATCCTGCTTGTGCAGCACCAGTATAAGTAATTCCATATTGAAAAGATCCTTCAAGTTGAGATTGAGATTGCCCTGTATATGTTCCACTTTGAGCGGAAGCTGTTCCACCTCCGTGAAACGGTTTTAAATATTTTTCAATTTTTTCATCTGTCTTAAGATATGGTTGGAAACCAATTTGAGCTTGACTTGAAGTACTTCCTTCACCGTTTGCTTGAGCATCCGCCATTCCACCTTTTGAACTTGCTTGTACTTGAGAATTTGTACCATGATTCCAACCACTGCTTTGTGCACCTGTTGTTGTAGCACCTAATTCTGAATTTAATTGTACTTGTGCTTGACTTTTTCCATAACCACCATGTGCTTGAGCATTACTTACAGCACCTTCTTTATCACCATTAATTTCTGTTTGTGCACTTTTATTAATATCAGTACTACCAGCTTGAGCTGAAAATGATCCAGAACCGCTATAAGTACCTGTTACTTGAGATTGAGCTGTACCTTGTCCAAATTTTCCTTGAGCAGATGCACTTGCTTGAGTTCCTAAATCTGTTTGTTTTACGGAACTAGATGCTTGAGAATTAGAATTATCATTTTCTATATGTAAACCAGTATTAGATTGTTGATAATATTGAGGAACTTTTTTAATATTCGATAGGAATTCTCCAATTAATGGATATTGTATAATAGGATATTGTTTAATACCTTGTTTTTCATTTGGATATTGTTCTATATTTTGTCTATTATCAATTTGACCTATAGTTAAAATTCCTCTATTATCATGCCATATCCTAGGATATTGCTCTTGCATTGGATAACCTGGTATTACTTGACTATTGGGATATTTTCCTGCTTCAGGAGCTTGAATTTTTACAATGCCATGGGGATAAGAAATTCCTGATTGATCAGTTTTAATTTTTCGATCAGATCCTTGAAGTCTATCATCAGCACTAATTTTTGTTTGATCACCTATTATAAAATGTCCTGTAGTTTTTGGAATATCTCCAGAATAAGTAGCTTCACCACTTGGAACTGTAATAGAAATTTATAATATAATATTTCTATTTGTCTTATTTGTTTCTTCTCAATAATAAATTATAAATGTAAATTTTTTTATTTGATTTCGCAATCATGAAATAGCATCATGAGATAAATACCTCTAATATCTGTAGTTCCATGTGCAGTATGACCAGGTGAAGTTCCTAATGAACCAATATTATGATATATATTCCCTTCTATTTTATTATCTCTATTAATAAAGTAAGATTTTTTACCAAAGAATTGTTTTGAAGATATTTGTCCAATAGGATAAATTTTGGCATCTGCAATTGCTTTTGAATTTGTTATAATTTGACTATGACCATCATTAGCTACAGTGCCAGGTATACTACCAGCTATACTGTCACTAGTTGTAGTACTAGGTGCAATTCTATCACCAACACTAGGGTAAGTAATACCATCATCAATTGTAGCATCAGATAAACCTTGAGGATGAACATCACTTCCAATTGTAGATCCAGGTATATTTCTATAAGCTGTTGCATCTCTAGCTATAGTACTAGATATACCACTAGGATAAACTATACCACTATTAATAATAGTATTAGGTACATTTCCACGATAAATTATACCACTATCAGTTGTAGTATCAGATATATCACTAGGATATACTACACTAGTTATAGTACCAGGTATATCTCTAGGATAAGCTATGTCACCAGTAATACCAGCTATATCTTTGCGATAAGTTGCATCACCGTTAGTTGCAGTACTAAGTATATTTCCAGGATAAACTGCACTATTACTAGCTGTAGTACCAGGTATACTTCCAGGATGTGCTACATTATCTCTAGCTGTAGTACTAGATGTATCTCCAGCATAAGCTATACTACTACCAATAGCAGTATGAGGTATACTTCCAGGATAAGTTAAATGAGTATCAATTGTAGTACCAGGTATTCCTTGAGGATAAACTATGTTACCACCAATTGTAGTACCAAGCACACTTCCAGGATAAACTATGCCAACAGTTTTAATATTAGATAAATCTCCAAGATAAACTATATTATTATTAATTGGAATACTAGATATACCTCTAGGATAAGCTATATCACCAACAGTTTTAGTACTAGATATACTTCCAGGATGAGTTACATCATCACCTGTTATAGTATCAGATACACCTACAGGATAAGTTATACTTCCACCTTCAGGATAAATTATTCTACTATTTGTTGTACCACCTACACTACCAGGATAGGTTGTCACACCATTGGTACCATGTATATTGTTAAAGTAAGGTATATGACCTCTAGCAGATATTCTATCAGAATAAATAGTGCTTATTCCTGGAATAATTTTACTAGGATGAACAATAGTATCCTTTGATTGTTTGATTGCTGAAATAATTTCAATAATTAATGTTTGTATTTTATTTATTATTCATATAATAGTATCTGAAATCTATATTATAATAAAAAATTAGTTAATATATAGTACCTGGAATTTGAACATATCTGTCTGGAGCATTTTCATCAGAATATTTTTGACAATCTTCACATCCAATATTACCTAATGACATACTTTGTGCTTGACCCATACCATATTTTCCGCCTAAAAATATTTTATTCAAATATTTTATTTTATATTTAATTCATAATATAATAGTAAATAATAGTAAAAACATTTATTTCAAATACTTACTAACAACCGCGCGTGAAGATTGTTGAGTAGCTTCAGCTTCAGCTTTACCTTCTTCTTTATTATTATTACCAATATTTAAATACTGAGATTGCGTTTGCCCTTGAAATTTGCCTGGAGATTGTTGTATTTGACGACGTAAACGATTTTTTTTAAATTTCTTATTAAATTTTTGTTTTTTTTCAAATACAACTTGTCTTTTGGCACGTTTTATCAAAGATGGTTGAAATAAATATTTTTCATAAGAAAGTGAATTAAAATAGTGAATATTTGTTGGATCTAATATAGATGCAGTTCTTTCTATTAAAATAATTTTACGTTTATTACAAAAATCAACTATTCTTTCTCCTGCAAGTTGCCATGCCTATAAAAAATAATTATTTATTTTATAATAATAATTTAGTAAAATAATAATGAAAAATAAATATTACCTTTAATTTTGTTAAAAATTCATTCGAAATATAAAAAGTTTTATATCCTTGTTTGATTTTATTTTCTGAAAGTTCCTCTTTATCTTTAAATTTCTCTATATAACATTTATTTTCTTTTTTATCTTTATATGCTTTAAAATGCTATAAAAAATAAAAATCATCAATTATGATTTATTTGATCAACTGAGAGATCTAATGAAAAACTGGTATATGCCATATTTTCATAAGAGATTTTCAAAGGAAACAAATTGATGATAGCTTTATGTTTATAGAAGATATTGCACGTATTTATATTTTTTTATTATTATTATTTTTTTTAGAATGTCATATATGATTCTATTTATTAATGTACATGATAGTATATTGAAAAACTTTTATATTATGTATATTTTATTATTCATAAATGAACACATAAATGATAAAAAAACAGAAATTAATATATATATGTTATATACTTGTTTTCCACTGGATCCCTTAATTTCAAAAGTAGAATATTTATTACCGTTTTGTAATCAGTAAATGTCCATTGTTTATTTATTGCGAATTTACGAGTATTTGATATTTCAAAGTCATCATATACGGAACGATCGAAACGTCTCTTTTCCTATGAATGAATCTTGTTAATAATTGAAATGAAAAAAGTTTATAAAAAAAATATAAAAATAATGTTATATTAATATATTAATAATATAAACGATTACAACAGATTTTATTATACATACAAAAATAGTTACAATTTTTAAATATATTTGAATATTAATTTTCCTAAATATTTTTTATTAAATTTTTTCTTAACAAATAAATAAATAAAAATAATATAAAAAAAAATTAATCTAATAAAGAAATTAATAGATTGTGCTATTTTCTATCAATTTATCTTATGAACTTTGATCTCCAAATCTGTCTTTCAAATAATTACTAATATTTAATTTCTATTAATTCTATTAATTTCTTATGAATTACATTGCTTTTAATATAAAATTGAAAAATAAAATTCATTATGTTTATTTAAATAAATGATATATTATCAGTTGATTAAGTTTAAATATTAATGTAATTTTTATCGATAAAATATATTGATTTGTTAATAAATCAAAAAAAAATAAATATAAATTAAATCAATAAATAGTTCTTCTTTCCAAAAATATTTTCTAAGGATGCTTTGAAATGATTCATTTATGAAAGACAAATATTAAATAAAAAAAATAAAAACAATGAATGGTAACTTACGTAATATCTTGAGAGTACTGTTCCCGAAAAGAAAATTAAAATGATAAAAATTAGTCGCATAGCTTTAGTTTAGTTTGATCTCTTCTTTGTGACTGTTAGCTTCTATTTGATGATAATCCTATTAGATTGGTCGTCGAAACTATGCTACCAAACACTTCTTTTCATTTCTTCTATGCTATTTCTTACTTATGCTCGATCTTACAAAGAGATCAAGAAGTATGAGGATTTGGATTAAAGTGAAGAAGGGGAATCAGTTTGATAGGGGAAATTCTAAGAAACGCCGGTATGTAAATGCGTCTGCAGTCTCATAAGCATTATAAGCATATATTATCTTATGTCGTCTCATGATGTTCAGATCTCGTTATCATCACGTTTTCATGAACATTTACATAAAATATTTACAAAATTTATGTTCATATAAAAATTGCATTAGTAAAATAATAAAAACAATGATAGATCGAAAGAAAAAATAATAGAATATAAAATAATAATAGAATATAAAATAAAATTAGTATATATGCATTTTTATCTAATTTTCTCTGAAAAAGAGCTTTTGAATTAAATCCAAATTTTTTTTATTTTAAAAAATTATTTATATTCCTATAATTTAATTAAAATCATCAATATGAAAAAGTAATATATATAGAATTTGTTTTATTTTTAATATTTGTGATTAATTTAACAGTATTATTTTAAAATGATTTCTTTTTTCTTTGATTATTATATTAAATTATATAGAATTACAAAAAATTACAAAGATGATATTTTGATTTACGCAAAATGACTTATTCCGGATAAGAATAATCTATTTCACCATACTATTTTCGCAGCTTTACTTTCAAAGACGCAAATATCTTTTTAATCGTACAAGATATCGTCTAAAGTCAATTTATGTGACCATTATCGACTGACGAAGATAGATGTATTCCCCTTCGTTGCCCTAATTATAAACTCCAATCCATTTGGTAAATACAGCAAGTCGTTGTTTGTTCTATTCCGATGCATTATTAAACTATCGCATAGCATAGTTCATCAATAATATAAAAAAATTAGATGAATAAAAAAAAAATGAATTTAAGATGAAATATTTTATGTAAATTTGTATGTAAAATTACAATTAATTTTTTGATTACATTATAATAATATATAATGATAAATCAAATGGATGTAACTGATATATCAAAAATAGAAAATAGATAATATACTTACTACAAAAATAATTGGATTTTTCTTTATTATAGATATTTTTCTTTAGTATAGATTATGGAACAGAGATCTAATGCATTTTTATGTCACATAGTCCAGGGACCATGTAACCCCATTACTTTTTCATGTCATATAAAACATCGATTCAGATTGGAAGGAAATACTTATTGAGATAAAACAAGTTATAATTAAATATAATAATATATAAATTTTAATATATTAATTTGTTTTTGACATAAGAAATATAATTTATTTTCTAAAATTTTTACATTTTCTATCTAAAAATCTTTTATTTCTATCTGATATCTAAATATTCAATTACAATTCAAAATCTATTTTAAGAATCGAAGATAGGATAAGTATTTGGATATTCAGATAATTACAACTCTTTCAATAAATGTTCAGATATCTAAATTAAAACATTTAAATCTGATTCACGTATTCAATATTCAAATACTAAATAAACTATATTAAAACTATATTATTTTAATATAGAATATCTACATTATTATTAATTATCGTTATAAATTATTATTTATAAATATTATTATAAATAATAAATTTTAGAAAAAAATACATTGTAAAACTAAGAAATATAATATTTATCATTGAAGATTGACATATTATATATTTATAATATAATATAATATATATTTATAATTTTGAAATGATGAAAGTATGTTTAATTCACAATCTGTATTCCGTTTGTTATATAAAAAGAAAGCAAATAATAAGAGAAAGAAAGATTAAATTCGATTAAAATTCGAAAATTAATGCCACAAAGAAGAATGCCATGAAACGCATAAAAAAAAACAGAAAATAATAGGAAAAAGGATAGAAATAAGATAAGAATTGACTATCAGCACCATCTCTTGAGTACCAAAAAACATTTAGTCAAAAAGCATAGAATAAAACAAATTAAGAATTGAGAATTAACATCATCTCTTGGTTGGTTTTAAAAAGATGATTTTTTAAAAAAATATCTTTAATATTTAAGAGATAATGTTGAAGATTCTTAATCTATTTTTATTCTATTCTTTTTTTATTATTTTTTGTCTTTTTTTAATATATTTCATGTACATTCTACAGATGGCGCTGATTTCTGAATTTTTATTCTATTTGTGTCAAATTTATTATGCTCAAGCACAATTGCAATATTTAGTTATTTGTGAAAAAAAAGTTTTGGAAAATGTATTAGTGAAACGAATATTAATCGGATAATCTACCAATATAAAAGTTCTATTTTTTTTTCATTTTAATAGATAATATTTGCACAATTTATAAAAAAATTGATAAAATGTTTACTTAGGCACTCCAATGTACAAATAGTTCGTGACATACAGAAAACAATAATACATTATAACTATACTAACTATTAGATCATTTGTTATATTTTAAATATATTCTAAATACTAATGTATAACGTAGGGAATGCTATTTACAACGTATGATTTTAAAGAACTATACAATCTAATATTACATTTTGGGATGTATATAATATAATGTTCTATATTTGATATCAATGACTAGGATATGCATACTTGTGTATGCTTTTTATTTCAGGTTATAAAACACATGTTTTAATGTATGAATTTACTGTGAAAAATGGATGAACTATATTATTACATCATATAACCGCTGCCATTCAATTATTTGTGCAACCGTCATTTTGTAAGTTTTTATTTTAAGTTAGAAATAAAATTTAATATGAACATGGAGTTATAATTATGAAAAATTAGAAAATGATTAATGGAAAATATGTATGAATTATTTCATGAATATATATTACAAAAAAGTTCAATAGTTGCACTTAGAATAGCAAAACGGGTTGGACTAGTTTACACTCAGATCATTATCGATTATCGATAACAGATCAAAAACAAAAAAAAATTATTAATTATTATATAATACCATCAAGGCGCTACTAGGCTGCATATGGCCATTAGTTTCGTTTACGAAAGTTCGAATCACAGACGATACGCGTTCGTATTTAAAAACGCAATTAATGTATTACATTATAAAACTATTTTCTTAAATATACATTTGCAGCAAAATGTGATTTTTGAAATTACATTTATCCACATTATTTGCTGTTTTTTACAACATCTTAATTGCTATTCAGTACTTTTTTCATTTAAATTTTAATGGTTTTTTTAAATTTAAATTTAACTATTATAGTATACAATATATAGTTTAGTATAAACGCGTAACAGAAATTTTATACAGAGTACTGTAAAATTACAGAAGTTTAAAAATTTCTTCTTATATGAACTAATCAAAAAAAATAGTTATATTTTTTTACATTATTTCACGATTATGTGAATGTTTATAATCCTATTTGTTGGTAATCTACACTTTAGTATATGTTAGTTTCAAGCCTGAAGGAATTTATAGCTGCCTGGAAGAGCTTGGAAAACTTGATACGATTAATACTAAGGTAAGTAGTATGCATATAGGCACTGCAATTCACGTTAAATCAATAAATTATTTTTTTTTCCTAATGCAACGCATGATATGTCTTTAAAAAACTGTAACTACGTACAACTATTTAAGGCACAACACTAGGAATTGGTAATTTTCTCTCACAATTTTATCATTAATATGACTATGTGCTATATGGTCCCTAATTAGGAAGGTGCATGGAATAACATTCGTGATTTCTATCTATAGTAATTGTTATGTCAAATTTTTTTTCAAAAATTGATTCTACATTCAACTATAAAAAATGGATACTCATTGCAGAAAGATTCCATCAAGTAAATATAATAAAATTTTAAACGTTTCTTGTTAAAACTTAACAAACTTATCTCAATATTGATAGGAATGACACTAGTTGTTATTAAGTAATTACGTCTTTATGTTTCTACGAAGCAACAATTTAATTATTCATTTTTGGATGGTAATTCTTTCATATTTATGAAATTATATTCGATCTCAATAATTTACTGATCCGTAAGTATAAAATAATCTTTGGTGTATCTGTATCTGTATACGATAATATTGCCATTATTTTATAAAAATACTTGCCATAATTTTTGTTCTATTGTTTTGAACGAAGATATTTCTATTCTTCGATATTTTTTCTAATCTATGCAATAGCTAAGTTAAGTGTCATTGTCGTTGGTTGGGAAAATGCGGAAGACCTCGTAGGATCGGAAAAATCGTAATTATTGGAAGAAGTTTGGCTATCATTGTTAAAGCGACTGAGATGTTCCGGATTAGGAGATATGACGGATGTTCTAATGACCATTCTTGATACACATTCTGGATTCTTCGTTACATTATCAGATATTTTTCTTTCGCGTTCTTCACTTGGAGTTTTCTCTCTATAAGAACGTTTCGATGGTGGAGGTGATGTAGATGCATCGGGAACTCTAGTGTGCCTAATAATCGCAGAAAATGCCGAAGATGAATTTCTTTGATCACGATTGAGACCTAGGCGAGGAACAATAACGCTTGTAGGAGATGCCGTAACACACGATGTTGTTTGTAATCTGCTCAAAGAAGATGGTAATGGTGCACAAGATTTTGGTGATGATGATGCTATTTTTTGGTCATTTCCATCGATTTTATCCGTGGATGATCGATGATGGGCCCTCATACACGATGATTCTTCATGTTTATATAGATATGATTTCAGAGCAAATGCTTTACCGCAACGACTGCATACATGTGGCTTAGTGTTCGAGTGCGTTTGTATATGAGCACGTAAATTTGACTTGTCGGCAAATGCTTTATTACAGATTGTACATTTAAATGGTTTCTCACCTAGTATACAAAAAAAAAATCATTAGAATTATATTTAGCGACAAAGATAAGATAATTACATTTAATAAAATTCGAAATATATATATTTAAGTAATTTTATATATATATAATTTATTTTATTTTATTATTATATTATGCTTTAAATATAATAGCATGAATTTTATTATAAATTCTCACCTGTATGAGTACGTATGTGTCCCTGTAGGAGCCATGGTCTCGAGAAACATTTGCCGCAATAATTACATTTACATCCCTGATTATGTGTTCTGACGTGCATACTAAATGCAGGCATACTAACATAAACTTTATCGCAATGTGGACATCTTCTAGCTTTCTTATCTCCAAGAGATCTATGCGTTTGTCGATGTCTGGCCAAATTGGAGGATGTCGAATATTTTTTTCCGCAGTCAGGACATTCGTGATCTTCATTGTCTTCGGATTTCGACGTTTCTGTTGAGGTTGAGGTTGTCCTTCGATTTTGGAAAATCGTCGAGGATGGCGATTGATTTGATTCCAATTCAATTTTATCGAGTGAATTCTCGGAAACTTCGATACTGCGACGTTCTTCTTGCAAGTGATGAGAACGAGATGGTACGTGAATACCTAGAACTGTGTTTTTCTCCGAACGATTCTGTAAAATTTCACGTTCGCATTCGATCCTCTCAAAAAATAGTCTTGTTCTTTCACCAAGTGATTGTTCATCTTCAATGATCCCTGGATGTTCTTGAAATTGCGATTCCTGCTGTTTTGTCCGTGGCGTTATCATTCTTCCGCATTTGTCCGAAAATTGAGCACACCTAGGCGAAGTTGATTGTTGTTGATAAATCACGTTACTCGGATGAATCAGAGTACCAGCAGCCGCGGCTAAGCTCACTTCTGCCAATTTTGTAAGATTATACAATTCTTCGGGACACTCTGATGATGTTTCGCTACCGCATTCACTCGCACCGTCAGAAGTTGGATGATTTCCGCTATAATCGGCCAATCTTACACCTCTTTCAGGACTGAAATCTATTAGAAATTGAGAAAATTAGATTCATGATCAGTTGTATGTAAGATATTCCTTAAATATTTCTATTCAAAATTATAATTTGTAATATATATAAACAATGTGAAATATTAGAGCTATTATTGCGTTCCATAATAGAATTGAAGATCAAAATGCGACACGTGGAATCATTTATCATCGTTAGCGTAGGTTTCTACAGTTTGAATGCGTTTTGGCGAAACTCCAACGGAAATCTCGTGATCAAACTAAAAGAACTTTCAATTGATAGTTCGATTTCGTTGTATTTGACTACTTTATAATTAGTTTTATTTCTACATCATTATTTCACAATAAAAAAAAAAAAGTTTGATAACTTTTTTCTGTATTTTTCAAATTATGTTTTCAGAAAATAAAATTTGTTCAAATTTATAATTTTTTTTTTTTTTGCTTTTCAGAACAGGTGAAGAACAGAAATGTAAAACCTAGAACAAGTGGTTTTGTTCTATAAATGAGCATTAACAGAAACATATAAAAAAATTTCGATCAAAGGATTTATGATATTTGCAATTGTTTTTGCAATAATTTTTATATTATGTATTTACGTCATAAATCGAATCAAAGATCGAACAAAGAGATTCGTGATTGACTTGTATATCAAGGCGTTTCGTGAAATATGAAACATCTTCGCGAGTCTGTTCTGTTTTTGAGGAGAACAGAAATAGAGTAGGTATCTTTCTCTCTTACCATCCTCTTAGTTATCTTTCTTTCTCTTTAATCCTCGTATTTTCTGCGTATTTCTATGTATCTATACTCGTATATGTGCGTTTGTATGAAAGTTTTAGAGGGGTTGACGGCATCGCGACGGTATGCGTCGTGAGTTTCGTGACGCATCTAGTATCTCCTATTCTTAAATCTACTCCATGTACCACCTTAATCACGAAGCAACGACCAGCATACTCTCTTGGCCTGAGATCAGCAACTTTGATTGACGAGATCGACGTAAGCGGCGCGGAAATTTTACTTACATCGATTCGAGTATCCGCATTTATGTTTCCGGGCAGTTAACATTGCCATTAAAGGAACTTTCACGTTAACCTTTGAACTTTCAACCAATTTTCTTTTCGTCATAATGTTAAAACTATACGTGAAATTGATCGATAATTAATGAACAATTATTTTTTCATCAATAGAATTTTCATCCTAGAAGAGAACGCAATGAATACCGTCGTAGTTATTTTTAAAACGCAGTTACAATATAAAAGATGGAAAAAAAGAAAAAGAGAAAATTTCTGGTATGAGATAAATGAAGAATATTCAAAGTGACAATTACGAAAGCAAGAGTGTACCTCTTCCGGATCCATCGAACTCCTCTTCGACTCCATTGTATCGTCGATGAGTGATTAGAAACGCTCTCGGCATTTTCTTCCTGTTATCGCGTGTACGTATGTCGTCTTCTTCTTCTTCTCTCTAATAGTCTCTTCGAATCACACAAAACATATCTTAAATCTGTTTGATCTAACTTCACTGTCACACACGATCACTAAGGGATTATTCTTTTAAAGTTGAAAAAAAATACCGTGGATGAAACGTTGAACCGATTAAAGAAGATGTCACGCGACTTTAATAAAATTTCTCACGTACCCTGTACCTGTTGCTCGACAAGCAAGGGGGTGCGTCCGCCTCGAGAATTTCGGGCGTAATAGTTGCTCCGGCTAAGATTCGGGGCTACATATAGCAGCGCAGCCTCCCTCGCCCTCCACCGTCTCTTTGTCAACGTCTTCTTCTTCTTCTTCAGCTGCTGCGCACCGCGTTGCACGCGCTCAGAAGGGTGCCTGACTGGCTCGTGTGTCGATCGCTGCTTCTGTTTGAGTGGTGGCGAAGTGTGCGACCACCGTATGCACATCCGTGTCGCTTTTTCGAGCGTGGACGGGGTATAATGTACACGCTCGTAAACATACACGAGTAAACGTATTCAGGATTGAATGTTAAAGGCTAGTTACGTTGAGATTAATTGATTAATATTATCATTATTTTTTTCTTTTAATTTTTTGATATTTTAAACTATACGATTATTATGATTATTTTTTATTTATCTTAGTGAACGACTTTTTATAATTTCAATTTCTTAATTTCGTTACATATTAAATACTTATAATATATTCTTATATTTTTTTCTTATATTCTGAATTCTTTTAGAAATGGATTCATAAGTATAAAAATTTGTTGAATATTTTTTAGCTGGAAAATTACTTTGAATTTTTTTCAACTGAATTATGGAACGTTTGTAAGAAAGGGTTATGAAAATTTATTTATTTTTTGGACATAAATTGAAATAATGGAAAAAAAATAGATCGAAGGACGTATTTTTTTATTCATAAGAAATATCGATATAATTTGTAACTAATTTGTAACTGCGAGTAATAACATACGATCAATGAAGATCTGACATAATAACGAAAAAACCGTAATCAGAATCAAATATATTCACATCTTTTTATTTGTTCTATTACTTTGGAATTTTATGACATTGCTTTTGGATAGATATGAACAGGTGTAAACGTTTAAAGTGCATTAGAGCATTTAGAATCCATTAAATTAATATGTCATGGAAAAGATTTAAATTCAAATTCAATTAGCAACACGAAGGTAACATCATTTCTGTTTATTTATAAATTTTCTTTATCTTGAATCATGTTCAAAATCGTTGTATAAAATTGCAACGACATTAGAAATATCGGTGTTAAATATTTTGAGATTACATTACTCTGCAGAAAACGAAGGAAATGGAAGAAAGAAAGCAGATTATCGACACGATATTTACCAGTTGGCAAATGAAAGGATAAGCATTCTATTTTTAATGTGAAGCCACTGTTGGTAGACAGATTTTGTGGGATCTACGGCACGCGTCCGATGTTCATTAACCGCCACTGGACCGAGAAAGAAAGAAAGGGAAGGGAAAAGAACGTGTGTCATTTAGTGCGGCATCTTTTAACCATCTCATAGATGGGGAAACGGAAAAAGCGCAAAAATGCTAGACGCGATTCATCGAGACACGCGTCTTTTTGCTTTAGAGATGAGTGAAATTTCCTCGAATTTGATGTCACAGACACATTTTAAGAAGCAAAATCATGGAAATTATAGGAACGATAAATATATTTAAAAAAAAAAAAAATGAATTTTTTTTATGAAATGATAAAAAAAATATAAGGACAAATTAAAATTTTTAAATTAATTTTCCTTAGATAGAAAGTTATTACATATTTTTTCCTATGGAATCCCATTAAAAATAAACATTATATTTCTATGAGACGTATCATATATTTACGATCTTCTGTAGTATTTTATTAATACCAAGTCGTTATTAATAAAATGACATATTTATTTTAGTCACATATTATCGATTATAACATCCCCACGATTGTTTAATAATATCACCGACAAACAATATTTCTCAAAAGAGTTTTATTATCTTCTTTGCTATTGGTATAATTGAATACAATGAACTACGATGAAGAATGAAACGTTGTATCTTTATAGATATCGAAATGGATTTTTAATTCGATTTCCAGGATATTTAAAGGGGAGGAGAAAAATGAAAAGCGAGGTTTTCCGAGCAAGTACAGGGAGAGCGATGTCGTTCGTGCAAACAGAGACTATGCAGTGAGAGACTATGCAAGCAACGGACTTTTTGGTCGGCGATTGAATGAATGCCACGCGAGTTAGTCAGCGTCGCGGTGCTAAATTCGGCGGACGCCTGGCGTCGCTCCAGAAGAACCACCCAGCGCACCAACCTGCTTCTATCCTGTAAGCCACCAATGAAACTGCGAGATTCGACGCCGTTTTTTTTATTTGCTTGCCACCTTCTTTCGTCCCGCATCGATGTTTCACGATGCCTCTCTTATGTTCCTCACGAAAATACGATGCCGAGTGTTAAGCTCCCTTTATCGATGCTCGTAAATCTTCTGCAGTAACGGGATAACGGGATTTCGATTTAAGTATATTATAGTTTAATATTTCTTATTTGAGAAAGAATTAATGAACATTAACAAATATATACACACATTAAATTATATATAAATATAAATATATATGTATATATTATTTTGTTATATTTTTTTATTCCCTTGATTTTTTCAACAATCTGAAATTGATTGAAATGTTGATTGTTTTCAGAATGATTCGAAGAACAGGTGTCTCGGGAACGCTATTGCAATCGCGGTACTATCGACGTTGGACCTAAAAATAAAGTCACGAGTGTCGAGCATCTCGATTGACGCAACTATGAAACTTGCCAACCTTTTCTCAGCGATGGATTGTCAGTATCCGAGGCTTCTATGTGTCATCAGATACGCGTAAAGAGTAATTTACTTCGTGGTTTCTACATTAATAAACCGACGGATAGATGGGACGCATCCTACAGGTGCCTGAACGCAGTTTCGATGGAACGTGTCGCGTAAAACGCGTATTTTCGGCGTACTTGGAGAAGCTCCAGGTGCGGAGGAGGAAGTACGTGTAAACCGAAGAAAACAGAGAAACTGGATGGATGGCGAGACCACGTGCGTTGCCATTTTTTGCAAAAATGAAACTTTAATCATAAATAATCTAACGTTTCAATAATTTTTTCAGTTTCTTCTTCAATAACTCCTCAATGGTTATCTAAGTTCTCTTGCCGAAGAAGAGGAAGATCTTTCTTTTTTGCTCAGAAATTCGAGGAGAGATTTTTTTACTCGATAAGGAAGACAGAGTCATTAAACGTAATCCTATTTCATAGGATCATTCTAAAAAAAAAAAAGAAAAAAAAGTAAATGTTTCGGTGAGTGTATCGGATATCGTTCCGAAAATTATCCGGAAACGCCTGGTACCTCTTATAAATCAGGATCGGTACATTCCCTCTTTCCACGATCATGTCGTTTAGCGAGAAGTTTTCTGGTGGGAAAAAAAGGGAAAAGCACGCGATTGCTATTTAAAAGGCTCGTAGGTGGGTGGCTTTTTAGCCGAGGTATATACCGACGTAGGGAGAGGGCTTCGACTTCGCTCTTCGGCCTCGGTATGGGGTTGCCGTGCTATTTTCAGGCCGGTGGCTCGATGCAGCTGTCGTGTTCTTCGGGTAAACCACCTCTCTTCTATTCCATGGTCACTCGCGGGACAAGGTAGAATGTACAGATTGGAATTCTAAATTCACGATTCGCAAATTCGTAAAGGATGACGCACTTTCGCTAACACTCACCGAAATTAGACGATCATAATAAAAGAAACATAGGATCACTATTAGAATTTCGAATCCTTTTACTTATTCTTGAAATCTATTTCTTTTTTATCTATTCTTCTTTTGCATAATCACCTTCATTTGTTCATTGTTTTTCTCTTTTCGGTATTTTTGATATTTTCCATTCTTTATAATTAACTTCTCTCTTTTGGGTTCTAGAGGGCGCATTTTAAGTTTGTATTAATCACAATCTCTTTTAATTTTCTTGAAGAAGAATTTTCTTCAAATAATAAATGAATATATTATATTTTTGTAGGAAATAGTAACAAAAAAAAAACGATAAGAAAAAGAAAGATAGAAAGTATAAAAAAAGATAGAATAGTAGAACTATTTAAGTGATTGCCTCCAGCAAAGCTACGAAAAGAAGAAGTGCGTGCTGGAGAATGGAAGACATGGATGAAGAAGATGACAAGATTCGAAGATCTTGGCAACGAGCCAGAAGAGATTTTCAGTCGTCTACGTATTTCCAACTTTCATCTTCTAGCCGTCCTCTAGAACCTAGGGTGCAATGACACCAGGTTTTAGATGACAATTTTCTATTTACAGTACGTGTCATTATAAATATATATTTTTTTACTTTTTTTTTTATATAATTTACTTAATAATTTACTTCTTTTTTACATAAATTTTTTATATTCCAGAGATAGTATTTATGTATAATATATTAAATTATTAATTTGTCACATTTATTAATTATTAATTTGTCACAAACATTCAAAAAATATAAGTGATTCACTAGGCACAGTAAAATACAGAAAAAAAAAGAAAAAAAAGAAAAGAAAAAAGTATTAGGAGATTAAAAAATATCGACCGGAACGACCCTTAATTTAGTTTCGGGTGCAAGAGGTTAACAGAGAGTGGGGATGTCAGTGGAAGTGCTTCTACGAAGGGAGAACACCGTCATACGAAGCACGTTGGTTCATGTTTGGAGGAATGTCTTTGGGTATAAAGGGAGACAGTTCCTTCCGGAGACAGCGAACAGCCGCCTGTTTTACCCTTCTTGTCCCTCCCATTTGTTCCCTTTTTGTATATCGTATTTTTTTGCGATTCATCATATTCTCTACCACTTGTTTTTCTGTTAATATTAATAAGAAGATACTTTTATTCAAGATTTTTTTTTTTAAACTTTTTTATCTTGTTATAAATTTCATTAATAAAAATCATTAAATTGCTATTATAAAAATTCTTTGAAATATATATTATTTTGCATATTATTATTATAAATACATAGAAGAAATTAAATAGTAATTTAATAATTAATTATCAAGAAATTTAGTAAAATTTCTATAAGAATAAGTAAGTGTTGTAATTCGGAGATTAATTGCATGTCGATCAAATTGTAGAACTAACCGGTTCGCAGGTGGCAAACAAGCATGCAAATCTAAAAAAGGGTTACGCACACGAGCACGTGCTCGCATTTTGCAAAACCTTTTCAAAGGCGATCAGCTGGCTGTATTCTTTCTTCCTTCCACCTCCCCGCTCTTATCTTTTCCTACGGCGAGAAAAAAGAATTAAAATGGATAAAAATGAACGTACACCCCCTTCGTTTGCACCCGCATCCTGTGCCAGTATAGTGCTGCTTTCGTAAAAACCGGCCCGTCGGTTTTCATTCAAAATGTGCGAGTCACGAGGGCTCATTCACAAATTTCACGACGAAATTCTACACTCAGCCGGACCGTCTGCGATCTTGATCGAGACAAGAGAGACGAACGCGTAAGAGCGAGAACGATCGGAATATTCTTTTTCTTGAAACCTCTTGTTGCTGGATTTATATTCACGTGATTCTTTTTTTTTTTTTACAACAGAAAAAAACCGACGATTCATAATGACGTACATGCTGCATTTAAATTGTTGTAACCGGTAAGCATATAGGAATTTATCAAGCAGTCAGCTGATTTTCATATATGAGATCTTTAAAACTAGAGTTCAACATTTTTCAATATTTTTTTTCATAATTTGGCACTTTAAATTTTACTTGAAAATAAAATATATAGATATTCTTACATATCTTATGATTTTTTTTTAAAATTAAGAAAATTGAAAATAAATCTATAAGTTAAAATAAATTTTAAGTCAAAGAAGTAATTAAGATACGAATTTTTTAAAAAAGTTATCTATCTTGCGAACGATTATTTTTAATTAAAATTGAAGAGTTCATGAACATTAATGATATTCATAGAAAATTGTAATAATTTCTCAATGTGACAGAAATATGCTTAATGACTATGAAGATTATTGCTCATTTGAAATCTAGAGAATGTTGATGACTTCCGTCTCCGATATCAGAAGATCGGAAGTGTCAGAATACAGAAGTATGAGGGATGTTAACGTGGTATAAGTACTGTTTGATTATTGTTCGACTGAGTGTCTGTTTTCTGATGGATACATCTCCTGTTGCAGTAGGTTCTTCCATTGGCTCGCGTACAGACCACGTGCCACACGTGATCCTCCCTAGTTGATTCCCTTTCTTCTATTGCCATCGTCCAGACATCTTTAAAGAGGAGATGAAAAAAATTAAGGGGACGGAAGAAGAGGAAGTGGACTAGACGATGAGGGAGCTGAGATCGTAGTATTAAACAGTACACTGGTGGATTCATGGAATTTCGTGAAACCCTGTTTTTTAAATCGGTATAATAAAATAATAAATTACTTAATAAAAATTAATAAATAATTATACATCATATTTTTTGAAGAAAAAATTGATATATTAGCTTGATAAATATGTTATAGAAAGAAGAAAGATGAAAAAAGTAAGAAAGAATATGTACCTGTGTTAACCTGTATTCATATTGTAATAAGATTATTGATATGTTGATATTTTTAAAAGCCTAGTGATTATCCACATATTCGTTCATGGAAAAGCTGTAGGAGGGGTTAAAGGACAGGAGGGTCGCAGACACCGAGTCACCAGCGGCAACGGGCACGCGACCGACACGCGCCCTTCTTCCGTCTCTTTTCTTCCCATCTTACCCTTTTTCTACGCTTCTTTTTCCACAGCAGCTTCCCTTTGCCCGCACATGTATTCATCTCTTATACGTGATCATCTTGAGTTTACGTGCGCGTGGGATGAAAGACTGGTGGTCTGCCACATGATTTAAGATAGCATAATTTAGAAATTAGTCAAGAAATGTTAATTGTTTCTGATATATAAGATAATCATAAATATAATCATGAGGTAATTATAATATATATTCTTGATATTTACATCGATACGTAAAATATATAATATTTTACTTGATGTTTTTTTTAACACAGATATAATCTTTGTGAATTAATCATTTGTGAATTCATTAAAACACACACGTATAAATTTAGGTAAAATGCATAATTTTAAAAATCAACTCATTTATTTTTAATATCGTAAAAAAATGTTTTAAATAATCATTCGCGTTTGTACACTACATATATACATGGATACTCATTCAGATTTCCTTTTTTAGAGGCCCATTGAAGAATCCAGGCACAAGAAGGTTGTACATGAATGCTCGTACAACGACTTTATCTTGACTGCAACCTTATCTTTAAGTAGTTTGATAGCGATGAATGTCTACTACGGGTAACATTAGAAAGCGCTTACTGAAAGAGCTTTGCTTTAATGAAATAATAAAGATCATTTAAGGAAATTTAATCAAGCTATACTAATTTGTTTAAAAATTATTATATGTCAATTCCGAAAAAATAATTAAGGTCGATGAAGACGAAAATGCAATCTGTCGTCGTAACGAGGGAAATCGGACATCTCTAAGTATAGCTCGTATTTGCATGCAGATCAGGGACGGATTGTATTAGGTTGCCAAGCTATTACAACGTTCAATCTATAAAGTTTGTAATACTAAAATTTTTAATCTATTTTTTTCATCTTACTATAATGTTTTTATAAACGATATAGTATCGTTGTTATCATGTTATAATCTTTTTACCCAATCTAAAAGCATAAACATAAATATTATATTTTGAATATTATATTTTTTATTGTTACATATATATATATATATATATATATATATAGGAAAATTCATTCATGATGTTTTAACAATCGCTTATATGAACCATTTCGATGACGATTACGAACTTGGCAATGTTTGGAAAGAAGTACCATTACATATGTTACACAACTAAATTCCTTCTTTGAACTTAGGGATATTAATTTCAAAATTTCTCATTGAGAAATCTTTTTTGTAATTAAAAAATATGTTACAAATTTATATGAGAATGAAATTGGCTTCTGTATAAAAATGATCATTTATCGTTATCATATGATGATCGAATGGAATTTGCCAACGAGGAAAATGAGAAAGCTGTGCCAAGAACGTTTAATGACACCTTTATATAAGACACTTCGTAATGCTAGTAAAATGTTAGTGATAGCTTTTGTTTGTAAACATACAATAATTTGTAATAAAAAGGAAAAATGATATAGTGTAAAGAAACAAGAGACAAAAATTAATTGATAAAAATGATAAATATTTTTATATAACAAAATAAAAAAAAATAATAGAAAATAATGATGTTAAATAATTATAATAGAAAAAGATGAATTATATATACTTAATAATATTTTAAATCAGCTTGAATTCATAAAATTGAAACTTTGATTATTTTGCAAACTTCTGGCCGATCACCAATGATTAACCATTTATAATTACGAAGATGCCACATCTTGGCACGTGACACAGCATTTATAGATCGCGATTCAATTTAATCGTCGTCGTTTCGATTATTTTTCTAACTACCTGTCATCAGAAGTGTGGATCCGTGGATCCAGTCGATGCCAATGATCGAAAAATAGATCCAAGCGCAACCTGTTCGAAATAGCTGGCATGAAACCTGTAACGACTGCTGCGTGTGTACCGTTAATATCAGTACATTGAACGGTACTAGATCGGTATTAGAATACCGACGTATTCAAATACAAAAGATGATATATGAATTAAATGACTATTATCTTTAGCGAATATGTTTTAGATTTTTTTTAAATCTATTAGGTTTTTTAGATTAGTTTCTATCAATAATTTGATTAGATTTTTGAAGATTCTTTGCTATCAAAAGAAGAAATTGATCATGTTAATTGCAAAACTTTCGACGGCGTTTCTAACCAGGTGGTAAACTATGATTCGCGGGGCAAATGGAGATTATATTCGAAGGTGTCTAAGCTAAAGGGAAGGAAATCTAATTATAGAAGTCGTTGTACCGCGTGCTGAAAGTGGTGGAGGGTGTGAGTACGGGTGCACGAATGAGAATCGGTTGCATTGGGCGGCCATAAAATGCAGGCTGCATCCGCTTGGCGCAGATGTACTTGGAACGGAGCTCCAGTACCACGACAAAACCAAAAGGATCGTTTCGAGATTCTATACCCTAACTGATATCGAGGACAATGAACTTGAAGTGTACGCGATAGAAACAGATTCCACGGATTCTTATTCGACGGAAAATCGATCGAAGGAAAGGAATGCAAGATAGTTCGTTACTCTAAACTAAAAATCTACTTGATCGCTTCCGGATATCTGGAAACTTTCGCTTCTACATTCCTCCATTAATGCAGAAGGATGTCAAAATGTTTATCGATTTTCTGTTATTAAATATGAGAGATTAAAAGCTGCAAATATTTAAGAAAATGAAGCTAACCGTTTATACATGGATACAATACTTGTAATACATTTTCATCAAGAACATCAACTTGAGTGGTTCTCTTATCACAAGTAGCATAAGTTCATTATGGGTATACTATTCATTCATGCACAGAGAAGCCATGTGGTTCATTAATCCAAAATACTTCCTGTTTCCATGATAAAAAAAAATTGGATATTATTGCAAAGAAATATTACAAAGCAATGAAAGCAACAAGTTTATTTCCTCTTTTCTAAATAACTATATATATAAAGCGTATGAATTTATTGGTCTGGAGCCAATGAAAGCAGATTCCAATAACGAAAAGTAATGTTACCTGTCATTATAATTTGTAACCAAATGAAAATCAAACTACCTGTGTCACAGTTTTATATCGATTAACTGTGACTTACGGGTGACACGTTTATCGTCAATCTTACCCGTACGAATGATTGGTCATTTGAGTGCACCAGCTGTGATATTTCGCGCACGATCGGCTCGTGCCGTTTGGACCGTGATTATTATTGTTTCCTTCATCTTTTTTTTTTCCTCTGAAAGTGCGGCGCGTGTGCCCGTGACGTGGCCATGTAAGGGCTAGGCGGGGGTGCTGGTCGCTAATTTTAGTACGTCTTCAGGGTTCCTGGAGTCGTCGGCGAATCGGCAGCTGGTGATTCAAGACGTAGCCTTGCACGTGGGTACGTGTCTCACCGTTCACGCGCGACGGACATCCCCCTTCTTGTTTCTCCTCTCTTCGAAGGAGGTCGATTTGTCCACTCCGTTCACTCCAGATGTGTGCTGTGTTTGAACTCACTCAATATATTAGACATATTGCTTGATATGAATGAATTTAAAATTACTTTTATTTCTCAATTGAAATTAGATACGAAATATTCAATTTCTTAGAACATTGTTGAAACAAATTTTTAAATTAGATTTTTTTATAAAATTATTATTATGGATTTTTTTATCGCATTTAATTTCTCAAAGATATTTTTTTAATCGATATCTTCAATTTAAAAGCAATCAATTTTTTTGAATCAAAAGGCAGAGAGAAAAGATCAGAGAAACGGAGAAGGAAAAGGAAAGAATGTGTGTCTCTTTGAGAAGGAGTTAAAGGGGAAATGGAGGAGAGGTAAACGAGATCTGGCGGCGGCTGGTGCAGCGGATGTTTGAAGCTGCTGAAAGTGAGGCGGTGGTTCCTTTCGTGTTCTTTCTCTGTCTTTCCTGTTACGTTTCCTTCATCAGTTAGCCACGATCGCGGTAAAACATGGTCCGCCGAGGAAGCACCTCGGCGGATGTGATGTTTAGGACATAGCCCGGACAAAAAAGTCTTTCCGTATAAATAGTGGTTGGTCCCAGTATTGCCATTTGATTTCTGACCCATATATTGATTGTTTATCAAAATATATATATTTTTATGTTCATTTTTTTTTTAATTAAATGTTTGACTAGAAATATTTATTATTTCTTATTTTATTAAATTAGATTTTAATTTTTTGTAATATTAACAACAAAGATAATGAAAATGTAAATATATTGGTAAGACGATTATTAAAACTGCACTTGATTGGCTCGTTTCCACTTGTATTTTGGAAGTCAATCTTTTTTGACCTGCAACCTGCTAAGTCAAAAGATAATGATCAATAATATAATGATTACAATAAGAAAAATATAACTTTTAATGTATTGAAACTAATTACAAATAATTCATATTTTTCTTATTAATGTATATAATATTAAATATAAATATTAATTAATATTTAATATAAATATGTATCATATATAAGTAATTTTTAGACATCGATGAAATATATTATAAAAGTATAATTATCAAGTATAAATATATTTTTATAAGATATATAAGATAAATATTATTATCTAATTAGTAAAATTAAAAAATTACATGACACGTGAATCGAGACAGATATGCTCGACACGTGGTTGTCGATATTCCAGGCTCCTGCCGAGAAACTCAGACCTCCCAGTGTCATTCGACCACCATGTGCATGAGCACTCGGTAAAATCCCTCTCAGGTTTTGAAATTGTCTTCTATTTGTCGTAGTATCACCAAAACCGAATAGTGTGTAAAAAACACAGAGAAATCGTTCGAAAGACCAACGCACGGATTACACCTCCTCGATGTGCTCGATGAAAATTTAAATAGATTCTTTCGAAGCGACAAGTGCGCGGCATGTACTCCGCGGGAGACTTCGAAATTACTTTTTTTACTAAATATATTATATAAAAAAATTAATCTATAAAAAAAATCTAACTAAGAATTGTAAATAAATATGATTAATGAATGAGAAATGAGTTCATATTTTAAAAATATTATATTTTATATAATTTATGCCGGTTGGTAATTGTAAGCGTTTAAGTCACGCTGAAAACAATAGTTGCCATAGTTGTATTTTCCTTTGTTAGTTGTCACCTGCTCTTACTGCTTAACCAATTGGAGTAAACTTATATGCGTCTGCCATTCAACCAGAGTACACAAGGCATGTGCTCCTTTTAGACGAATATGATACGCTTACTTTTACGACACTTTGCATATGCCTCTTAAATTCGTTATTATTTACTCTTGCTAAATGTTTTAAACATAATTAAACTATAATTGCACAACGTATTTTACTCACTGAAATCAATTAAGATTTAATATAAAATATGTTATAGCATTAAATCATATAATATTATACATATGTCATGTAATAAAAAAATAATTTATATTAAAAAATTACTAGTTAAATTAAAAGTTATTAAAAATCAATAGTCTTGAATATTATTGTTTTCATATCTAAAATATCATAAAGCCATTTAGGTCTAAAAATCATATTTAATGAATGCTTAAATTGATGTCCTTCAAAAACATATGTAATCTAAAAAAAAAAATAAATATGTTATATAAATTTATTTTATTATTCTATAGATAATAAAACTAACTCACATCGGCAGGATAATGAGGTGGATAAATGTAACTTATTGCTACATAAAAATATACACTGACTGTGACCATTGGTTCGGGAAATTCAGGAGTAGGTACACTCCAAATAACTTGATATGTGAAAATTTCAACTCTTTGTTTATACTGAAGACCAATAAAATTTATATGAAACATCCAATCCTTTAAAGCCTATAAGAATATTATGTAAAAATATTCAAAAAAGATTTATTATGACTAAAAATGTTTAATAATAAATAAATTCTGACTGATAAGGCATTCCACGATTTCATTTCACTTGTTATGGATTCTAATCCATTTCGTGAGTTGAAACTACCACATGTAGCCCATTCATTACCAAAATAGCCTAATTTTCGAAAACTTACATTATCGTCAAAAGTGAGATCACCCTGTTTCGAAAAATTTATATTATATTATAAAATTAAATGAAAATAGTTTTTTACAAACCAAATTATCGATTATTGAGAATGTATTCAAAATTGCTTGATTAATGAATCTTTTAATAAAATCCGTTGTAGTACGATAACTTTGATATTCATGATCAACATATTTAACTCGAATATTGAAATGTGATGATTCTTTACATACAAGCATATTTTCAGGATTTTAAAATCGTAGAAAAAAATATTTGTCAAAAATTCGAGTTTTCAAAAATTTATTTCACCGAACTTACATACGTCATTGCGTTCGTGTTAAAAAAAGAAACAACAAAATCGACGATTTCGTGCTTCCGCTCGTGCATATTTTTCTAATTCCTATGACAATTACATCGCGATATATATACATATATATATGTGTATATATATATATATATATATATATATATATATATATGTATGTATATGTATATGTATATGTTATAGTTGTATACATAGTTGTATACAATATACATGAATAAAACGCATGATACAATTAAATTATATGAAGACTTGAATTTAAACAAATAACTGTCTATAATATGATATAACATTAAAATTTATGTTAAGTTAACAGTCATTTTTCGTATTATTAGGATGTTCATGTTGAGATCGTGCTGCTTTTGTTGATGCTTCCAAGCCTGTAACAGCTGCTAAAACTTGGAATAAACTTTCCATCAATCTACTAAATATTTCCGACATTTCATCGTCTTTTCGTGTAACTACAAAAATATCTAAAGAAAAAAATATAATTAATTTTTGAATTATTTATCTATTTCAAAAAAGTTTGATATTAATATTTTTTAGTATATTACCAGATCTATCTTGTCCTAAGTATTTGCAATACATATTAACAGCAGTTGTTACATCGTCATCATCATGAAAAGGATCTCCTGGCCATTGTGCTCTATGTAATCTTACAGCTTCAAGAGCAGGAGACCATCGTGCATTTTTAAGTAGTTCTGCTACACGAGCAACTTCTTCAACAGCACCAGTACCGGGTAAAGGACTAGGACTAGGTGTTGGAGTTGGTGTTCCTCTTTCACTTTCTGTACTTTCTTCGAGTGCTCTGCTCAAAGCAACTTTCATATTTGCAATTTCTGCAGATATATCTTGAAGTGGAATTTGTACATTTCTTGCAGCGTTCATAAGAGTGCTTAACATCTTGTTTGAAGCTTCAATCAATAATAGCAGTTGAAGATGAAGTTTATAAAGTGCTCTACCTAAGTCTAAGAGCATCTCTTCAAGACCTGTTTCTGTTGTATGACTACCACCTAAAGCTTGAAGTTTTGCTGTTGCTTTGGCTGCTTCTAAACACTATGAAAATATGAAAACTATGAAACTATAATATAATATAAATATAATATAAATATGAACACTATGAAAATATATATTATAATTTATAATAAATTATAAATTATAAATTAAAAAAAAATTAATAATTATATATGTATATTTAATAAAGAATTACTTACTTCGGTAGCATGATCTTTCTTATCAAGAAATGTTTCAAGATGTTCTTGAATTTCTAACATTCCAAATCGTAAGGATTCGTTTAATCTTTGATTTGCAAAAATAGCAATCGAGAACCAAATTAAAGGTGGTTCAGCTTTTGAGCTAAGAAGTTCTGCATGACTAGATAAATGATAGCCTAATTGAGTGGAGGCAGAACTGCCGTTACACAATAAGGCACTAGCTTCTCGTGTGAGAGTAACTGATTTACTGCTTACATCCTGAGTATAATAATACACGATATTAAAAATTTCATATTAATATGTAACAAGTAATGTATAATATTTACCCTTAAAATTCTACTCAATAATTGGAAAAAGTCTAAGGTATTGTATAGGGATTGTGTGATAAGATTTTGAATCTGTTGACGCCAAATTTCTTCTGCATCATCTCTTACAACTTGTCTAAAAGGCATTAACGCTGACAGATTTGGTGATGCATTACAAGGTGTTACATCTCCTAAATCTCCTGCACTAGAACCACTGGATAAAAATAACAAATAAATATCAATAAAATAAAACTTTTATTTATTTTAATAAGAAACTTACGATGTGTCAGACCTTGTCGAAGAATCATGACGTGTACGACTAGGTATTAGAGATAAAGAGGATGGTGGAAACATTCCAGGAATATTATTTGTTTCCTGTCCTGTTCCAGAACCACCGGGTACTTCATCTAGAGGTGATTCTGATCCAGCTTCATCATCTGATGATTCTTCCGTAACACCGCGCTGTAATTTTAATATACATTCAATTGTTTTTCATTTTATTTCAACTTGTTTCAACATACTATTTAAAATCAATTTTTAAATACCCGACTAGTGTGTTTACTAGATGATTGAGTCTTTTCACTTAAACTTTCTTCAAATTGCCTTATACTTGATTCTCTCTCTTCTCCTTCGCTAAGAGGACGACGCCTTACTCCCCAGTTAAAATTATCCGTACTTTCACCCTATATAAAAATTAAATTTATTTAATTTATTTTAAATTTATTTTAAAATTATATTGAATTATATAAATAATATATGAGTAAAATATATTAAATTACAATACTTACTTCAACACTTTCACTTTCATATTCAAGAAAGTCAAAATCTTTAAATACACCAAATTGTTCATCATCTCTTCTGGAGCCTCCACTTAAATCATTATTTGCACCAGAAACTTCTTCTGTTGAGGAAGCCATAGATGATTGCCTTTCCATTAAATCTGAACTTTGACTGAATATCACCTGTATTAAAAAAGTTTATTTTTAATTAAAGAATAAATACAAAAAATTAGTAACAGAATCTTTATCTGTCATATCTTAATTTTTATCTTTACTAATGCTGTGTACTTTAGCAATTATTGTGCATTTTCGTGTTCAATATTGAACTTTTTATATAAATATATGTCGCTTCGACTATATAGTAATAATGTAAAAATTACAATGCACGCGCAGATTTGTATTTTTATGTACGACATTTTTCATACAGTTAACATGCTACATAAAGATATATTATACATTTATAATCCTACAAAGATTGAAATAATTTTTTTTCATTTTCAAAATTTTGTGCAAGTTAAATTATTTGCACGAAGCATATAAAAGCGTGAATATAATTGTATTGATAGGACATCACATGAGTATGAGTATAAATAAATGTTTTTTACTCTTGTGATAATGAGTGCAGATTGCGTTTAAAGAAACCTGTTACCTTGCTATATAATGTCATTGAACTAATGTGTTCATCCTAAAAAGGAGTATAGAACCAGAGTCAGTGAAAAGATACCGTTTTTTTTCTTTAAACTATTGGAATTAAATATATATATATATACATACATATATATTTATAACACATTTTTTCGAAAAAAATTTTCAGTTTAAATATAAACTTACAGATGGACTCTTTGGTAATCCAACACGTTGACCACATGTTGTTAGAAGATTTACCAAACATTCTCTAACACGACCCTGAAATTTTTTAGATTTAGATTTTTATATTTATAATATTTATAAATTTTAATTTATATTCTATTGTTAATCTAACCTGTGACATCCATGGTCTTTTCCAACCAGAAACAGCATTACTATCAGCTGGTGAAAGGGATAATGAACATCGAGGAGAACTAAGCGATTTTTCCTCAACACCCTGACGTATTAACCATCGTCTACCAATTACTGGTGTTTGTGATAAATCAAAGGTGAAATCCATAGTTCTTCCTATTTATAAATAAAACAATTTATCTTTATGGCAAGGAATATAAGAAAAAAATTAAGAATAATTAATTAGTTATTAAATAATATTCCTAAAATACTTTTTACCTTTTCAAAAAATTTTAAAAGTTGAAAAAAATAATGCGTTTGAAATATAAAATGATAAAATAAAAAAAATTTATAAATAAGATTTTTTTGAAGCGAACTACATAATCGTAATATGATATTTAATTTTATGATTTAATTTTGATTAAAAAAATAATAACTATATTTCATGAATAATTTACAATTTATTTTTATTATTATTTTTATCGCAACCTGAGTATCATCAGATAAGCAATCCATGCAGTGAGTGTTTGGCATTGCAAGAGGAAAAACATAACTTAATAACTTTTAATGTTTACATCCATGCAAAAAATGTTTTAAAGAATAGTGTTTTACCGGGTAATTCTTTTTTAGTAAATATCTCAGTATCGGTAAAGCTTGGATGTGGAGATGCTATTGAAGATTCCCAAGATGATCCGTGTACTGATGTAGGTGGTGCTACCAAAGTTGAGGATCTTGTGACTACCAATTTTAATATTTTAAGGGCTTCTTTCCAATGAGGACCCTAACATTACATTTATTATTCTATAATTGCTTGTAAAAAAACTAAATAAAAATATTATGATTTATTTTTTTTAGGAATCAAAAAGAATTTTTATCCATACCTCAACATATTTTGAAATCACTCTAAGAAGTTCAGTATTGATTGGTTGTGCTGCTTGTGAAGCTAAATCAACATAATGTAACATACAATGTATAATACTAAGTACAGGTAAAGCAACACTTCCTGGTCCTTTTTCCAATACTTCTACCAAAAAAGCAAGCATATTGAAACTAAGATGAGCATATGTATCATATAAGTATTTGACGACGCATTTAGTCCATTGAAAACTTTCTTTGCTGAAGGTACGTCGACTATATAATGTCATAACAGTACCCAAATTTTCTAATTTTTTTCCTTTTTCTGCACTCATCTATAAATGAAAAATATATTATATATGTAGGAACTTTTTATTTATAAAAAAATTATATAATAATATATAATAATTATATAATAATAATTACTTGTGCAATGTTTTCTGCACTTCTAATACACAATTCATTAGCATCTTCATAATTTAAAAGCATATACGGAAGCAACGATACAACGTTCATTGGAAACGCAAGACTCTGAGTAGGATCAACTACTGGCAAATCTAATAATGGTGTAAATTGAGATAATAATGTTACAACAGGTTCATATGTATTAGGACTAGTACATCCTTTCAATAATAATGCATGTACACCAGGAAATGAGGTCCATCTTAGTTGTTGTTGTAATTTTTCAACTTTATCTCTAGCATCTGGTCGATCCAATGGTAATCTATGAAGTACACGACTAAGTAGTCTCAAAGCTAAAAGAAATTCATGTTCATAATCTGATTCAAGCAAAGATACTGATAACCAGAACAATTGTGCTAATATAGTCATTTTATCATCTTGTGTTGCAGAATCACCCAATAATTTTAAAGATTGAGCCGATCTCGATCGTGAAAGATTAGAATTAGGATATTTATTACATCTGTTATCTAATTCTATAAAGAAAATTAATATAGTATTACACTTTACAATTAATATATGTGTATGTATATATGTATATATATATATGTATAAATAAGATATTCAGATATTACAAACCTTTTATTTCACTTGCT